GAGTCCACCAGAGTCAAGCGGACTCTGATAAAAGGCTCTGAGGTCCAAAAAACCTCATCCTACAAAAGGAAACGGGAGGTTGTTGATCCAACTGGTATCAAAGGGTAAGTGCTATATGACTTCACTGTATTGATGATTTACTGTACTGGTGTGAAGATTCTGCAATTATAACAAATTTCCATCTTTATGCAGAACGTCAGCCAGCCGCTCTCCAGAGAGGAAGAGGAGGCGAGTGGACCTCAGTGGAAAGCCTAAAGGAGTGCAGGTAGGTCCTCTAATGGCAATAAACAGACCTGGGTTCGTTTTTTTTTTTTTTTTATTCATTTGCCTTTATCACAGGGATTACAACTTGGAGTTTAGATTTTACTACTAATATTACAGAGATTGGAACGACTAATTATCTGATAAACATCTGGAGAGGAAGAATAAAGGTGAAGGGTAGACGTGGAGCTGACAGACGCAGGCACACCATTTTATAGCAACACACCAACAGCTGACATTTATTGTTTCTGTAGTTTGCCATAAAATATCTTTGGATCTGCTTTAGAATCAACTATTTATATTACTGTCTATGGTCTGTTAGTTTTACGTGTGGAGCACACATTGTTCATTGTGCCCAGAGTGTGTGAGAGACCTTAACTGGTGTTGGTCTGGACTTAAAGAAACTGCACTTTGTGGGGCAGGGGCTGGGTTAGTGCTGGAGGATTTGACCCGTGCAGGGGGTGTCAGTAATGTGTGTTACATGAAATGGATCTCTGATTTTCAAACTGTTTGTGAGTGTTGCTGCTTTATACTTTTTACTAGAACAAATTCTCCTTATACAGGTCATTCTTCAACAAACAGGGAAAAACTGGAGGAGAACTGAGCAGCAGCCCAGCTCTCTGCCACTCCAGACCTTCTCACCAAAGGGGGGCACACTGGACCAGTTCAGAAGAACCGACAGAACATCTGTGTCACTGCCAATAATAATTTAATGAAATAAATATCATTTTTTGATTTGTTTCTTTAATGTGTCTTCTTATCTCACAATTCATTTGGGTCTGTTAAAGTTCTAATGTGTCCACCTTTTAAAGAGACTTGAATTTAAAGATCCCTGTGTGATTTAAAGATCATTTTTAGTTCAACCAAAACAAAGCCTCCTGCAGCAGTGTAGCTGCCATGCTAGCAGTGACAGCCTTTACCCTCAGTCTGTGTAAAACTAGCTTATATTAACACTGCATTGAATAACAAAATAGACATACCTAACGTTCTCCTTCTCTCGGTAGATCACATTAATCCAAATTCCTGCTGGTTAAACTTGTAAACTAATACTTTAACTTCCTCGACTAACTTCTGCAGCCTAATTCCTCCATGAAGCTGGGGGTCCCAAACAGTGACAGCCGTACAGTTAGCCTCACCAAAAAGCTGTGGTTAAATAGTGTTACACTCCACCAGGTCGTTAGGATAATGACATATGCGGTACAGCAGCTAGCACTGTGTGTTTTAATCCATTAAAACATAGAAAATAAAAAGGCAGAGTTTTTTTATTTATTGTTTTTAATCAGGCACGTGTTTAGGCAGTAAGTGAGTATAGCAAGCACGTGGTCAGAAATCTGGGCTGTGCTTTGTGAGTGTGTGTGTGTGAGTGTGTTTGGGGGAGTGACTGTGAAGCAGCACACACTGGTCTTTGCATCCTGTTGTGAAAGTGCAAGTAAGATCATTTGCATGCTCTTTTTCCTGAAACGTGTAACTGGTTGAAATAACGTGGCGTTGGTCAGTATTTGCATTTATTGATGAATCCAATGAGCGGGAACGGAAGCTGATTAGCAGCCGGCGGGCTGTGCTCCGTTCATTGTGAGTGCAGGCCGTCCGCTGCTGCTCTGCTCTCTTTGTCACGGAGAACAGGAGCTAGCGTTAGCATAGCTTTCCTTTAAACCTGTCGAGTAACGCGTCAAAACCACTCAGTAGCTTCTGCTGCTGGTTTTATGTCTTATTCACGGGTGCTGGTAATGGGGGCACACATTAATCCGTATTTTACATTTAGTGTGCTGGGCTATACTACAAACATCAAAATAAACGTGCATCGCGCTTCCCCCTTTGTCAGGGGATTTATTTAATCCTTCTAATAGCCATTTAACTTCTGAACTGTGCTGAGCAGAACCGACGGTGAACAAACGCAGTTATGAAACTGGTATTTTGTAACTCGAGGATCGGCAGGTGCTCAGCCTAGATAGATACTTTATTTATCCCGAGGATAATTCAAGCACCCAGCCTGCATCCGCTGGGCCGATATTGCTGCTGATATGAGTCCATGAGGGTTAGTTTTAAGACTTGCCTGCTTTAAGATACACAAGTTGCTCTTTGTGAACGTTATAGAACATACAACTGGAGGAAATGACTGAATTGTCAGTATAACCGTACAGATGTTGTCTGTGGTCGTACTCAGCCCGACAGAAAGCAGTGTCAAGTTTTGTTTTTGGACTCCAGAATAGCCACACACTTATTAAATAACATTTCTGGGATCCCAGTCCAGCATGTGCTCTGTGTTAATGTATGTGTTCATGTAAAATAAAGACTATTGGGAGGATTTATCGTTGTTGGACAGATAAAAAAAAAAAAAATGTCAGTCACAATTGAGCAGAAAACCTAGGTGACCTCTTCAAACTGCTTGTTTTGACCAACAGTGAAAAACCCAACATGAATTCTTTTAAAACTGATAAAAAAACTGAATAAGCAACAAGCTGGAAACGGCAAATATCCTTTCCCCTTGACAAGGAACAATTTTGATACATTTCTTATTGAATGAGTCATTGATTAATCGACCATTGCTTCAGCACTACAGTAACAACCTGCAGATTCTCCAGTTGAACCACAGTGAAAGTCTTGCATATTGCTGTAAAGTTTGAAACTTAACTTTCAGACGAACCCATCACTTAAATTCCTCTTCTGTTTTTCCAGCGGCGCGTGTGTTGTTGTGTGTGCGTGTTGTGTGTCTGCGAGGTTTGTTTGCAGTCCGAGCGGGTTCAAGTATGAAGAGAGGAAAGAAAGCAGAGGAGGCGGCTGCAGACGGGGAAAATGACTCGGGCTCTGGTACTACAGCATGCATAAGTGCACATTCAAACACATACTGTTCTCCACAGACAACTTCTGAATAGATCTTCAAACTAAAACCTGTGACCTGCCTACCTTCTATCTTTCCTTTCACCTCACAGCTTCTGCAAAGAAAGCAAAGAAGTCCAAGGAACCAGAGGCCCCAATACTGTACGAGGATCCTCCTGACAAAATGACCAGCAAAGATGGCCGCAACGCCAACATGAAGATCACCTCCTGGAACGTGGACGGGCTGAGGGCCTGGGTGAAAAAGAAGGGCCTGGATGTGAGTTTGCAGTGAACTAGAGAAACTAAAGCAACATAAATTGTTTGCCAAGTTAAAGTTGTGAGACCGGTTTTAATGGATGGCGCTTGTGTTGGTTCTCCCAGTGGGTGCGTGAGGAGGCTCCAGATGTTTTGTGCCTGCAGGAGACAAAGTGTTCAGAGAAAGCCCTCCCCGCTGACATCACCTCAATGCCCGAGTACCCTCACAAGTACTGGGCTGTGTCAGATGAAAAGGAGGGTTACAGTGGCGTGGCCATGCTCTGCAAGACGGAACCCATCAAAGTCACCTATGGCATTGGTGAGTGAGAGCAGACCTCATTCAGTAGTCTTGTCATTTTTGGAGAGAGCCAGGCTAGTTTCTGTTTCTTTATGCTAATTGTGTCCTGGTTGTATCTTCATATTCACTGTACAGATGACCATCATCAAAAAAAACCAAATGTACATGTATCTCAAAATGTCAAATTTAAACCAGAATGCAGCTGAAGTAATTGCATTCCATTGTTAACCGTTCTTTCCAGGCAAAGAAGAGCACGACAAGGAGGGTCGCGTCATCACTGCCGAGTTCCCCAATTTCTACCTGGTGACCGCCTATGTGCCAAACTCCGGCAGAGGCCTTGTGCGCCTAGATTACCGCAAAACCTGGGACGTGGACTTCCAGGCGTATCTGAGCGAGCTGGATATGCAGAAGCCACTGGTGCTGTGCGGCGACCTTAATGTCGCACACCAGGAGATCGACCTGAAGAACCCCAAGGGGAACAAGAAAAACGCAGGCTTCACCCCCGAGGAGCGTGAGGGCTTCAGCAAGCTGCTGGAGGCCGGTTTCGTCGACAGCTTCCGCGAACTCTACCCCGAGCAGACCAACGCCTACTCCTTCTGGACCTACATGATGAACGCCCGCGGAAAGAACGTGGGCTGGAGGCTTGATTACTTTGTGCTGTCGTCCAGTCTGCTGCCAGGCCTGTGCGACAGCAAGATCCGCAACAAGGCGTTGGGAAGCGACCACTGCCCCATAACTCTGCACATAGCTGTGTAGGTCAGTCTGGTCAGCAGGGCTACTGCTTTGCCTAGCCTTCACTGTTACTTCAGTACTTCCGTTCCAACTTGGCTGAAACTATCCTGTATGCCAGTATGTGCTCTGTAAGGAGTCAGGCATTGCCTACTTGGGCAGGAAGTCTTACATTTGTTGACCTTACTCATGGGAGAACTGCTGCCCTAACTCACTCTTTTCAGTAGGTACAGCAGTAGCTTAGTTGTCTATCTTTTTCAGTTTTCACATGAAACTTTCATAAAATGATTCCACAATAACCATTTGTCCTCTTCATGTAATTGAAAATGCTGTAAAAACGCAACACTAAATACTCAAATATGTCTAAGCTGATTTTCAACAATGACCCGTGGCTCCTGACTGTACTACTGTGTATCTGAGACACAAGCCTCCATGTCACAGAATCTGCAGTAATGTCTTTTGTCTTACTGTTTGAAATTGAACCACTGCTGTCAAAAGAAAATGTAACCTGTTCTAGCACAAAAATGTTTTAAGCCTCTTTTCCAACCCAGTGTAAAAATTTTCTGTTATAAAACATGCCCACAATAAAGACTGAATTTATGTAAAAGCTTCGTCTGTTAATTATTTTAAGATATTGAGCCAAGATGATAAGGAAAGAAGTCACACCACAAGTTCTGAAAAACACAATTCCTCTGCTCAGTGTGCTTTAATCAAAACAACCTGGAAAGCAAATGCATTCAGTATAATGGAAAAATTAACCTGTTCTTGCTAGAACAAGTGTCTATACTAGATGCAGTTCACTGCAGTTGCATAGGAGATAGTCACAATAATTAATTTACAGTAGCTGTTCCAGTCTAAACTAGTCTATAATCTAAGACCATTTAAATTTCCAAAATATTAATCTAGTTAGTAGGTTCAAGTCTTGACTATGTTAACTTTATGATATGTGTTCGTTGATGCATTTTCAGGTTATATGACTGCCTGAATCCCTTCCCACATTCCCCACACAGGTAAGGTTTTTCCCCCGAATGTGTCCGCTGGTGTCGTTTCAGGCGGTTGGCGCTGAGGAAGCTCTTGTCGCAGTCGACGCAGGAGTACGGCCGGACTCCGGTGTGGTAGCGCAGATGGATGGTCAAGTAGCAAGACTGAGTGAACTTCTTGCCACAGTGGGGGCACTGGAAGGGCTTGTGGCCCGTGTGGAAACGCTCGTGCTTCAGAAGCTCAGCGTGGGAAAAGAATCCCTTCCCGCAGTCGGAGCAGAGGTACGGCCTCTCGCCTGAATGAGTCAGCTCGTGTCTGGTCAAAGTCGCCTTGTAAACAAAACTCTTGTCGCACTGCGAGCAGCTGAAAACGTTTTCCCTGGTGTGGCACCGCTCGTGCTTCTTCATGTTACGTTCCCTCTTGAAGCTCTTACCGCAGAAGGAGCACATGAAGGGCATTTCCTCCGAGTGGATCTTCATGTGGCTCAGCAAACCCCCCTTGTAGAGGAATCCCTTCCCGCACTGCGTACATATGTGCGGCCGCTCCTTTTGGTGGATGCGTTGATGTGCGGTGAGAGCTGCCCGGTAGGCGAAGCTCTTTCCGCAGTTGCAGGTGTGCACTCTCTCTTCTTGGTGAGTCTGCAGGTGCCTGTTGAGGTAGCTGGCACAGCTGAAGCCCAGGTCACAGCGAGGGCATTTGTAGGAACGCTCCACCTTGTCAGCGTCCTCGCTGTGGGTCTTCAGGTGTCTCACCAGTGCCGACTTCCAGGCAAACGCTCGGCCGCACTCCGAACACAGGTATTCGCCGTTCTCCATGTGGGTGCTCTTGTGCTCCCTCTGAGCCACCAGGGACTTGAAGAACTCCCCGCAGATCAGGCACTCGTACTTGCGCCCGGACTTGTGCGTCTGCTTGTGCCGCTCCAGTGACTGTTTGAAGGAGAACCGCCGCCCGCACTGAGAACACAGGAAGGGCTGCTCACCTGTGTGGATGCGTTGGTGGGCTTTTAGTAAGGACTGGAACTTGAAGCTCTTCTCACAGTCTGGACAGCTAAAACGTCCCTCCTCATCTGCGAGGGGCTGAAGGGACAGCTTGTCATCCTCAGCCTCAACAGAGTGCACCTTGTCAATGTGCTGCTGGACCTGTGCTTCTTCTGAATGGTGGAAGGAGCACTTTGGACAGGAGAAAGCAGCTGATGAGCCATCTGCTACAGAACCTTAATGGAAAAACAAAGTCATTAGAGACTGGGGCAAGAAATTAACATTGTACTAAGAACTGATAAAGCAATGTACAACTTCTATCTTTGTAAGTGCCAATAAAAGTTTTTATTTGCCATTAAAAGAGATGTCAGAAATGACCAATTACCCTCTAATTTCCCTGTAACACCATTTTCCTTTCAAACAATTCATTAGAAAAT